CAAGAGAGGGCCAAGCTAAGCCAGGCCCAGGCCCTTTAGGGTACGTAATATATATATAGATATCTCAGTATCTCTCTTTGGTGGGTCTCTTTAGGGTATGATGAAAAGGAACCTACAGGTGAAATGATTCCCGAGGAAGCTTCTAGTTAGAAAGCTTTCTTGCTACTAGTTGTGAAGGCCTCCAACCTAATTAATAGCGATGGCCTTCTAGTAGCTTCGGTGGTTACTAGCAAGCTTTACTATGTAGGGCTCTCCCTCGATCATTTCTTCAGCGATCTCACGAATCTGCCCAGCGATCTCGCACACGATCTCGCACATGTCCCGTATATAGAGGACCTTTTTAGCCTCGTACGACGTGCATCGAAGAGGACGACCCTTTGGAGCACATGTTGGGATCCAACGTTTTTTCAGAGAAATAGACATGAGTCAATTGACAAGGCTCCCAAGACGTCCTCCTCAGCTTCCTTAAAATCTTCAATGTTAGGCTAAAGACCATCACAAGTCGCAAGTCCAAAAAATACAGCCAGAGAACCTCCGAATGCAGGTTCGCTCAGCCTGTTTGCTGTGTAATGTCATGGACACAGGGCTTTCGTCCGGCAAGCCGAGGAGAAACTGCGTTGGGCCTTGAATCTCAAGGAGGGCTGCCGGGTTGTGCTGCTTGAGGTTTAACCATTTCAGTGGGTCAAAGTAAGTCACACCCCAGAACTGAACAGATCAACATGCAGCTGTTTTTTCCTCAAGAGAACAAGAGATAGTTCTGCCACATAGAACTGGCGTTGTGTACGATGTTTGGACTCGATCACGATCACCACCTTTGCAAGAACCGGCGTAGTGAGTGACGTGAGTGGACCATACATTGCAGTGAGTGATGTCGAAACAAACCTAGTTTGTGGAGCAAGGTAACTACGCCGGTCAATAAAACCTGCAGACCAGCTGACCTTGCGCCATCATTGGAGACATGCCGGAGTGCCCTTTTGTGCTACCTATTGCGTGTTCAGTCACCAGCCTGGCAGAAACATGTTTGGCCTCCCAAAATTGGATCAGGCACCGGCGAACTCGTTTCCTCTTTGAGGTTGCCACCCGTGCCACGCGTGTTGGTATTTTAGACAAGTTTAGACATGTGCTGCATCAGCAAAGGGACCCGTAGAAGTGCCCCAAAAAAGTTTTGTACACCAACACCAAAGGCCATCTTGGATGGACTTGTGGCCAGTTCTTCAGCACTTTAGTGCCTGCAAACATTTGCCAAGCTACAATCATTTCCAGTGTTTGACAACTCCCGCCTTGTGAAGAGCCTCAAAGCGTATTTGTATGATCGCCCGCCATGTAGGAATCTTGCAGACTCTTATCACAGCAACGGCCAGGACCAAGCAAACCTCTCTTATGCTGACAGCCGCTTTGAAGAGGCTTCGTTGGTTTATCGTGTGTTGCTTGCCCAAGCAGTTGCCCCTTCATGGCCGCTGATTCTCCGGCCACCGCAGTGGCAAAAGATGAGACGTACTGTTTGTTTCATGGCGCATGTCTTTGAGAATGGGAAAAAGGCACCAAGTCGAGTTTCCTTGGAAGTGGTACCAAGTTCAGCTCGGTTTCCGCTGTTTTGGGCATATCTGAAGTCGGTACAGGATTCTTTCCGAGTCTGTCACTTGGGCAACCTGTGGAAGTACATTAGCTGGTCACCCAAGTAAAGTCTTAGGTATAACTATAACGGTATAATAAATCCTCTTGACTTCATGATGAAAGAATCGGAGAGTTGTTTTTGCTTCAGCCGGTAATGCAGCGAGTCGAGGCGCAGTGATACCATCGAAGCCAGGAAGGACCTGGAGGGACCCCTAGATGTTCAGGTCCTTGGTGGTCCTTGAAAGACTTGGCTCCTGCTCCATGATTTAGGCTGGAAACTGTACCGACTGTACCAATGTGTATGGGATCTGTCACGCATTTCACACCTCTTTTCTCAGCCTCCGGATTCGAGGAATAAAACACGGCACAGCTCTACAGGCGGCACAGCTCTACAACGATTGCTTGGTCGCCTTGGATTTTGAGGGCGATGACCAAGAGAACGCCGAGGCGACGGTCCTCGGTCGGGGTCGGTGACCGTGCTTGGCTCACGGCTGACTGCCAGACTGGCAGTAGACCTTGAACTTTCAAAACCTGACAATTTATTGCCAGGAGAATGAATCTTCAGATGGGCCTGAAAGAGCCATGACAGTCTTTCTTTTTTTTAAACATTGCTATGGCGATTTGTGATCATACGATATGATTTGTACAACCAAACGTAGTCAATGTCAAAATAATTGAACATACATCAAACTACTACAGCAAATGAGATGCATGGGAAGTCGGAAGATCAGGATTGTATCATATTGTATCATCTCACATTTCTGTATCCCAGTCTCCAGCTTGTGCTTGTTTAAGATGTTTCAGTCATCGTCATCTTGCCATCACCAGCCAGCCCAACGATTTCTCGCCGCAGCCAGCTCAGCAAGCTTCGCCGCAGGTGGCTCGGCGACTACAGCTGCCGATTTGCACCAATCTGGCGGCCTGTCTCATCGAGAGCCCTGGCGTAAACATGTCTCGTTGATTTTGTCACCCTCGGCCGGGGATGACCATCCACCGCATCTCTGAGAGATAGCCCGAGTGTTCAGCGTAATGTTTGGGGGGAAGGGGTGCTCTTAAGAAGTTATGGTGCATTTAGGATGTTTAACCTACAGATACCTACAGTATTAATCGAGATAGGTACGGATAGAACCTGGCTATGACTTCAATGTGCGGTGACAGGTGCTTGTTGGTTTTTGTTGCCTTTTTCACTCGTCTTTCAAACCAAAAATAGGATGAAGATTGCAACCCCTGATGTTCATCAATTATATATTACTGTAATATCAACTTCTTTTATCAACGCAAATCCAGCCCATTGACCCTTGAGGAGTCAGACTATATGTTTAAGATCAGTTTCGATCCGCTTGGATCCACGGGTTTGGGGCCTTTCCCCATAGACGCTCACAAAAGGTTGATACAGCCACGTCAATGTTATTCCCCTACCTCATGTGCGAATCCATGTGTCCAACCAGCCATCCAAGTGCTATCACAGCCGAGTCTCAGTGAATGGGCTTGTTTTTTTCTTTCAAAGGGCGGTGTCTTATTTGTTGTTCTTACTGATATTTCTTATCAAAGATCTACTTGCGACCATGTTCTTTGTACATGTCAAGATCTTTCCAAACGCAGTGGGGTAACGATCAATGTCGTTACCAAAGGGATGTGGAATTTTAGAATTCGGAAAGGTAATCCAACCTCTTGTCGGAACTATTGCAAGAATTGACAACCTATGTTATGAATCTAGAAACCAAGCGCAACCAACCTCACCAGCAAATCCTGACGTGAGGGACCAAAAAGGCCAATACACCAGATTCAAATCTGCACCTAGCTTCGATGGAAGTGCTTTCCATGGAATGTGAGCCACCAGGCATGCCATACCTCATGGAATCATGTTGACATCCTGGAACTGAGCTGCTTTTTGGAGGCCAGCAATTTCCCAACACATTCACATTCTATATGTATGCCGCATGCCCTTTTGGAGGGTATATACAGTTTGCTGTTGAGATTTCCGAAGTGTTGCTTTCGTTTCTGGTTGCCCCCCTCCGTTTGAATTCACTGAGACCAGTTCTGCAAAATTGTTGAAATCAGAGCAGAATTCGGCGGAGCAGTCAGAGTCTTCCCTCAAAGAAGTGAATTCCATGCAATCAACTGCTTTGGATTGATTTTTGAGACTGCAACTGGCCGAACAGCGACCGGTCTTCTTTTAACCGATCGAAGCATACGGGAACGTCCGCACAGGTCGCTTCCGGCCGGCCGCCGAAACAGAATCCTGACTACGCCAGACACTGTCTTTTAGATTTTAGCGCAAACATAGGCTAGGGAGAATACGCATGTCAACCTTAAGGTAGCAAACTCTGAAGTCACTGGCAGTAGGCGACAATATCCTGAGGCCGCTAGGCCAAACCTAATCCTTGAGCCGTAAACCAGCACCTGGAGCCGTCCATCAGAGTGCTCCTCCATTTCTTGTTGAAACCACTTCGGCGCCATTGAGGATGGGCAAGAACGAGGAATGCGTCCAGGCACCCAGGCGGCGTGCGCGCGTGCGCGGGGAGATGGCTTTCACGGTGCATGCCGGGGGATGGACCGACTAAAAACGACAACAAGAGGAACCCACCTGGAAGGGCCTGGAAGGGTTGCTTGGATGTATTTAGACGTTTGTTTCCCAATCCTTTCATGGTCTAGTTCATGGTAGTTCTCGCTTCCTTTTGTGTGTAGTGTCTTGAGCATATTGCGTCAATGGGGTTGTCACTGGACCACCTGAGAGTCTACCCGACGAAGGCCCAGGATCATTTGGGACAATAGTCTTTTTGCCCCTATGAAGGAAGGCGTACTTCAGTTGTAACAAGGCATGTTTGTCTCAAAAGATTGCATATGCTGAATATGATGAACCCAAAAGTCTTTTTCAGGGAGCATGTTTTGAAAACTAACCAGCAATTACTCTGAAATGAATGGCAGTGAAGTGGCTTGCAACCATGTATGTGGGATTCAAGAAGACAGTGCATCGGTGGAATAACATAAATCTTCCCGAAACAATTGAAATTGTCGATCTAAAAAACTGCATTTCTCATTAACAGGTTGACTATAGCAATGATGTAACAGGCCGGAGTGCTAACATTTGTTTAAGCTGTGTCCGTGTGGCATGCACAGGCCTTTTTGCAGCATGGTACAGTACCTTTGGTAGTGCTGACACTATATGTGTGTTTTACTGTTGTTGTTGATGTTCAATGCCCTGCGGCGCTCACTCATTCCCCGGACACAACTTGTTGCTTTTGTTGGCTAATCACCTCACCTTTCGTCACGATGTGTCAAACAGAGGAAAACACATCAATCCGCAGCGGTTGTAGCCTCAAGCCTAAGCCCTAAGCGAGGCGTTCTGGGCACTACTTGCGCAGAAAAAAAGAGGGCGCGTCGCCATGAGAGCATTGGGCAGAGTAGAGCCTGAAATCCGGCCTCCAGATGAAGAGGCCACTCTGGCGTGGCGAGCGCAAGGAAACAATCCGCGGACGTCAAACGAGTAATAACAAAGTCCTGGGTGGATCCAAAGAAGACAATCTCTACAACCAAACCAGTCCGTGCGCAGAAAACATGTCTCAGGTTGCCAACAGTTTAGTCCATTGATCGGTGATGAGAGCAGAAGTCGCGCGCAGTCGTCTTGGGTGCTGGGAATCGGATGGGTGTTCTGTTTTTCCAGGGTCTCTCGGTGCAAAGTGGGGCGGACTCAGCAGTACAGTGGATGTGTCTAAAGCTGTTCGGAAGGACCCACAGTGTTCCACAGGTGCTCAGCATCCGCTCGCTTCAAACCATCCGCTCAGCGTCCACCATGCCACAACGCGATCCGCTCGCTTCGCTTCTCGATCCGCTGCCTTGGAGCCGCCCGTCGAAGGGGAGCCGGGGAGCCGCCCCGTCGCCAGGTCTCGGGATCTCAGCCAGGTGTGAATAGCGAAGGGCCGCCTCAAAGGCGTATGGCCCAAGGAGAGTCCCTAATGGGTTCGGACCGTGAAATCCCAATAGCAAGACATCAATGGCCATCCAACCAATTATTACTGCAAGGTTCAACGCTCCTATTTTCGAGCATAAAAGCGGCTGTCGAGTGTACACTTCTCGTTTTGTGCGTTTCATCCTTTGCGGACCAGCACTCCTCCCTGGTCGTGCGTTTAGCATCTGACCAGCATTCGAAAATCGAGCCGTAGGCTCAAACCGCTTCAACCGCCACACACTTTACATTGGCGGATCTCAGTCATCGGTCCCGTGACCGCATTGCACCGAGCATCGGTGTGGAAGTTGCCGAGCTGGTCCTCATAGACGAAGTTCGTCTCTCGAAGACTTCTCTGGCCTCTGGTGGCCCTTTGACAGGCTCCACACACCGGCTGTTCATGAACTCGGTTGGCCTTGCTCAATCCCCTGCAGCTCCGCTGTCTATGGAAGCACTTGCTGGACTCCGCGAACCAGATCTTCCACGTTGGCTCATTGGGGAATCGCCTCCTCCTCCCAGTCAGGGTGATCTGCAGATGATGCCCTCCAGGTAGGTCAGCTTGATTCGGCGGCTCCTCTTGTGGCTCATTCAACGCGGGATCCAGTCTCCCTTGATGTCCATTTTCAATGCCTCCACCCATCCTGGTACCCCTTGGTGATGAGGATGAAGCACTCTGCTCTCCATGGTTCATTTGCTGCCACTCCCCATCACGTTGACGTGGTTCTCGATCTCCTCCTCCTTTGAGGTCTGGTAGAAGTCCTTGTCCCGGAAGAAGATTGACCAGCCAGGCGAGAGACCCTCACTCTACGCGTTGCCGGATCGTCCTCCACCCGGTTCCAATGCAAGCGGCATTTTTGAATGACCTTCATGAGCACCATTCCCAGCAACATCATCATGACGCTGAGGAGGTACAGGATCTGGTCACCCTCCACATTCTCATCAACGTTCTTGGTGACATTCTCAGCCATAGCTCCATGCACTTCCTTAAGGGCCGACAGCACCACGACAAGCCTCATGGCCTTCTCCAAGTGGTACTTCGCGACCAACTTCATAGCCCTTGGTGCGACAATGCCCTTGTCCTCCTCATGTACTTCGTCCACTGAGTCGGGCTGCCATGACATTCCCATCCGTTGCCTCAGCTCGTTGACCCGGGCCACTGGCAAAGACTTGGTGCCGATGTCCGCGATGAGCTCTCTTCCAGGCTGGTACTTCAGCTCCCATTGACCAGACTGGATCCTCCATTTGAGGTGGGCGGCCCGGACCTTCAAGTGTCTTGTACGCCACGCTCCAGTTGCACAACTTGCTATTGAGACTGCAGCAGTGTTGTCACACTTGAGGAACTTCGGGACGTCCTTCGCCATCTCATCAACCAGACATGCGATGCTATCTCCCACAACCACAGCTTCGATGACCTCTATGAGCTCGGCCTCCGCGGTTGAAAGGGCGGGGAACGGCTGCTTGCAGCTCTTCCATGCCACCGGTGCTCCGGCCACCGTCGTGATCACACAGCCATGGCTATGAGCACCTCCTGGAGCGAAGGAGGCATCACTCACTGACTCCAGTATGAAGTTGGCGTTTCTTCGGTACCACAAGCCCAGGCCCTGCGTGGCATTCAAGTACCTGATCAGCTGGTATGCCGTTTGGATCGCCCATTTTGGAGCCCGGCTCGTCGCTGAGCAGATTCGGCTGACCGTGTAGGCAATGTCCGGCCTCGTCTTCGTTGCCAGCCACAAAAGTTCTCCTCCGAGTTGTTGTGCCTCTAGGACCTGCAAGGGCGTGCGATCCAGCTCATCCTCGGGTTCCTGGGATTCCTTCATCATCTGAGCGCTGCAAAGGTCCTCCATGCCATGTCGCCGAACCACTTCCCTCAAGTAGGAACATTGATTGGCAAAGAAGTCTCCTTGTTCAGTTCGGCTCAACTCCATTCCACAGTACCGAACTGGTTCACGATCTCCCACCCACGTAGGTTCGGACGTCTCCCAGGTCCTTCGAAAGCTCTGGAGCCCTTGCTCCACCATCTCTCTGGTGCCGAAGAGCATCACATCATCCACGTACACCAAGGCGAGTCCCTCAACCAGATCTCCATCTCCGGCATCCTTCCTGCGCACCAGCCACAAGTTCTCCTCCGCGAAACTCTGCTGGTACTCATAGGTGATGGAGTTCACCTGAAAGGACATCTGGCTGATCTCAATGTCCCTGTAGTCCCCCCAAAGCTTCGGAGACTCACGCAAGCCATACAGGGCCTTCTCCACCAGCCACATTTCCCCTTCCTTGACCAATCCCAGTCGAACGAGGATCTTCGGAGGAAGCATGAGCACCAGTCGTTTCCTCTTTGTGAGGTCCTCCTCCTGCTGCTCTTCCTCGGCCATCTCTTCTTGACCATCGTGACCTCCTCCAACCTCTTCATGATCCTCTTGGGGTCGACCATGGGCGTCTTCCAAGGCGAGGGCTTTCTTCCGGCTGCTCTCCTGTAGCGTTCTAAGAGGAGCATTCAAGAAAGCAGTCTTTATGTCCAGGCTAGCTGCCTGCCAGCCCCGCGTAGCAGCCAGTGCCAAAGAGGTCCTCAAGCATGTAGTGTCCGCTCCACCTGCGTAGAGTTGTGCTGCCTCCGACCGATCTCCAGGCCCTCTTCCAGCTCCTTTCAGGTAGTTTCCACACACCACCAGGCGACACTTCCTACGTCCATCAGGGGCCTTGACGGCATGTATAGCCTTTCCCGGGACCACCTCCACCTTGTCTCCATGTTCCCTCTGGTAGTAGGCCACTTCTGCGGGAGTCAGTCGCCGAATCGCCTTCTTGCCCTCCAAGGACTGGATCTCCTTCATAATGGCCTCCAGCCACAGCTCCCGATCTTTGTACACCCCATCGTTGGGCACGATCCGGGTTTGGAGAATCTCGTCTTCCAAAAGTCGTTGGGTCGATGCCACCTGCTCTTGCCGTAGTGCAACCAGGCCTCGACTCAGCGGAGGAACCTCCCTAGGAGCAGATCCCAACAGGTGACCCTCCTCCTCATAGATGGCTTGAAAGAGCATTCGACGATCCTCTTCCCTTAGTAGGTCTTCTTCTCCCTGTATGCATGCCAGTGGTGTCTTCTCTCTCAACCTCCAGCGAAGCCGTACAGGATCATCTTGGATATGGACCTCCTCCATGACCAAGTCTCGTTCGTCAGGCTTAGGCTCCTTGACATCCTTTATCAAGTAGCTCACCACCTTGACCTTCTCCCTGTCCGTGAGAACTGCATGTCCTTTCGACACCTGTGGGGTAGGAGTCAGGTAAGTCACCGTCTCGGATGTCGCTTCGAAAGGTCCTCCTCGCTCCCAGGCTCGCTTTCTCACTGTGATGAGCTGCCCAAAGCGTGGTAGAGTCTCTTTGATGTTCTCTCTTCTCCTTCTTTCCAGCTCCGTCACATGTTTAGCCGCTGCTGGCCACCACTTCGTGGGCATGCCCGAAGCATGTAGAAGTCGACGGACCCTTTGCTTGATCGACGCAATCATGGCCTCGGCACGACCGTTTGACTGGTGTTCATCCGGAGGACTGAAGGTTCTAGCCAGCCCCCTCTCCAAGCACCACCTCTTGAACGGGTTGTTGTCGAACTCCCGGCCTGCATCGGTATGGATTCTAGCCACAGGGTAGCCGTGGCGTCTCAGCATTCCAAATAGTTCCTGCGTTCCAGCAAGGACTTCTGCTGAGCTTTTCGAGGTCAGTGGTAGGCAAATGGACATTGTGATCATCTTGTAGACCTTCTGGTGCTCTTCAACTTCCTCTGGAGTCTTTGGAGGTGGCACCGATGGTGGTTCTGGTTGACTGGGTCCTGGATCAGGCGGCGGCTCTAACTGATCACCGTCTCCTTCGCCCTGCCGTTCATCCTCCTCCGGCTCACCCATCTCCAGATCTTCGCCCTCATCTGACGTAGGTCGATAGGACATCTCCTCCCCATGAGCTTCCAGATCTTGAGCCAGGTCATACTCCACCTCCCGAAGAGCCTCCTCTTCCTCGAGTGTAGGCCAGTCCTTGTCTGGAATCACCTCGAGCTGTTCAACCTCGTCCCATGGTGCCTCCTCCATGACCGGCCACGTGTATGCTCCAACCAGGAGGTACTTCTTGAGGTCGCCGTCAATGTCATGGCCGAGCACAAATGGTCCTGTCAGATCCAGCGACAACACGCACGGAGCCGCTATCCCTTGAGCTCGATGTGGTCGATCCCTTGCCGCTGCTCTCTGACAGACCGCGCAGTCTCTGCGGAACGGCACATGCCCCTGGGCCAGGTGTTCCTGCCAAGACAAGGCCTTCATCGTCACCCGCCTCTTCTGGATGTTGACTGTAATGCTTCTTGCGATCTCTCGCATCATTCCTGGGGCCCACCTCGCCAGCTCGGAGCTCGACACCTCATGCTTGGTCTTCAGGAAGGCCTTGGGCGGGCCCCGATCCTCGGGAACCATGAACTCCATGTTCAATGCCAGTGAGGTAGGTTTCACCGCCATACCGCCATAGGCACCCTGGTTGAAGGTCACCATGTCCAGGTTGAGATGCTCTTTCATTACCCTCCACTCTTCGGTTCTCCAGAAGGATGCCACTTCCGGCATGTGCTGAGGCGCTGCAGGCTGCTCCATCAAGAACCTGACCGTTGGCAGCAGCGCGGAATTCTTCTCCTGGGACAATCGTGCATCTCGACCCAGCTTTGCCACCACATAGAGCGTCACCATACGCAACAGCAGCACATCGTCCAAATGGCACTTTGCCCTCTCTACTTCATCCAACTCGTCCAAGCCCCAGGGTCTTCCCAACGATCTCGATGGCCCTGGTAGTCCTGTGACTGGATGATGTCGTAGTTCACTGCGGGTCCTGCAGTTGGGTCCACCGATCACCGCATCAATCCAGCCCAACATTGCAATCCTCAGCAGTGCTGCATACATTGCATCGTCCTTTGACATGTCATGACCTTGGTTTCGAAGGATGTCCACCTCCAACAATCTCGTAGTGTCTCCGCCCGCCTCCTTGAGAGCCCTGGTGAGGTCGTAGCCCTCATTCTTCCCAGCGTAGAGATGAACCACGACACCCTCGTTTTTCCAGCGCTTGCGGATGCGTCGATTGACTCCAAGGACCTCCAGATTCCTTGCTGGAGAGTCCACCAGGCGATCCTTGATTCGGATCGGGACCTTGTCGAAGATCGGACAATCTGCCACCACCCGGTCCAGCCAGTCGACGTCATTGTGAGTCTCCCCAAATCGGTAGCACCTCAACGCCGTTCTCGACCGAGATTCCTCCAGCTCCCTGATGAGGTCCAACGCAACGTCATGGTCCATTTGAGGGCATCCAGCTTCAACTCTAAGGTCAATGTTGCCCTTGACCGGATGCTCCAAGGTGCACGCTTCTCCCATCCATTCGATTCGACATCCCAAATCGCGAACGAGTCTTCCGGCCGGGACGATCGGCTCCACGTTCTCACTGTTGTGGACCAGCGTCTCCCCTTCTGTCATTCGGATGTCCTGTGCTCCTCCAGCAGCCAACGTCACCCTCACCTGACGATATCTCTGAAGATCTTCTCCTCGGAGCTTGGGCCTCAGAGCGTGCGTTGCCCCCGAATCCAGAAGTCCTTCTCGACCTTGTTGGACTCGAGCTATCTTGACTGCCCGTAGCTCTGGGCCACCTTTCTCCCATGCTCGATTCAGCTTCTTCAACGTCGCACCAAGGTCCGTTGCACGATCTTGCCCTTCTTCTTCGAGGTTCATGCCCTTGAGCAACTTGTGCGCCTCATCAAGCACATTCTTGATCGGGTCTGCAGTTTTTGTCGCTGCATCCGATACCGCCTCCGAAGTCACCGACTGCGAGGATGCTGCTTGAGGGGAAATTGAAGCCCCCGACTCACTCCGCGAGGTCACATTTCCACCACCACCAGTTTTGTCCAGCAGCTTCTGAAGCTTCGGTTTCTGGCCAGATGGAGGTCCTTCTCCCTTCTTTGCCGTCTCTTTCCTCGGACAGTCTCGAGCCAGATGTTGTGTGGCCCCGCACGTAAAGCACCTTCTCTCCTGGTTCTGCTTGTCGCCAGTCTCCAGTTGATGTGCCCATTTGCACGACTGCCCTCTTCGACATCCAGACTCCGTGAGGAAGTATCGACAAGGACCCTTCGCCGATGTCGTTGGTGAGTCCCCCTTCTTCTCTCGATCTTCCCCTTGTAGTGCCTTTACTGCCAATGGTCCACCTCCCTGATTTCCAGGCCTCGTAGTGCTCGAAGACGGTCGGACTCGGTGCATGAGTTGTTCAAGTTCAGCAAGTAAATGCTCAGCATACGTCCGAACAGTCTCCTCATTGGGGATGGTATCAAGCTGCAAGGTGTTTTTGACCAAGGCACATCTGAATTGCAGATCCGGTTGTTGAGTGAGGATCCGCTTGCTGAGTTTGTTGATGCCCTTCATGAGGATGATCGCATCAGGAAGATTCAGGCCAATGTCGGTGGCCCTCCTCAGCCAGCGCATCCAGCGTCGGAGCCCCATGCAGGCTTCGCTTGGCGACCCTGCTTCTGGCGGATCTTCAAGTTGCCGCAGGATGATGGTGCGCTCATGAGCACCACCTGGTTGATAGAGGACCATGAGTTTGCTCACCAGCCCCAGCGGCGACAAAGTCCTCGTTGCTACCAGTTCCTCCTTCACTGTCGTGGGAACTGAAGAAAGCAGCATGCTGATGGCCCTCTTTTCCACTCGAGCCCACTTCGGCTTTTGCAACTCAGCAGACGGCTCGATCTTGGATGATGCCCGCTGAATTGGACGAAGCTTGATGTACTGGTTGTACCAAGCCCTTGCTTCGCTCACCACCAACTCCCACCACTCGCCTGACGAGTCGCTAAGGTCTGTCATAGCCGGTTCCACCATAGTGAGCCAGTCAGCAAGGTCGATGGGAGCCGTATCGGATGGCTCTGCCAGGACTGGGAGTGTGGCCGTCCCCGGCTTGACCGACTCCGGTCCTTCTTGCTTCTTGTCCTTGTCGACCAGGTAGGTGATCAGCATAGACATCGCATCAGCCATGCCACCACCGTGCTCTCTTGATGGTTCCTCCCGAACATTTGCAGTTGAAGATCGACCAGGCTGCTCGGCTGTGGCTTTCTTCTTTGGCTGACCCACGCCTTTCCCGGTCCCTTGTCTCCCTTCCAGTTCGAAGCCCTTCGCCCGAGATGCCACCAAGCCCTCAGGTTGACCTCCTCCCTGACGTGCAGTCCTCGGACCTTGAGATCTCGACCTCTCTCGTTGTCCTTGCCCCCGACCACCTCGCTTTGCTGGCGCCGGAGTGACCGCCCCCATCAAGGATTGGAGCTGCTCGAACTGCTGCATGGGAGTCAACTCATACAGCCGGCGTCTTTCCACCTCCAAATCTGTCTCTCTCGGAGGCTCGTCGACCGTCAATTCCAGCTGACGATTCACAGGCTCATCGCTTTCTGGCGTTCTGAAAGCCTGCTGCTCCAGCTCACGTTGTAGGTCATGGACTTTGGCTTCCAGGCTTGCCCTTTGGTACTTCATGGCGTCCATGAGCTCTGCCTGCTGAATCTGCAGTTGTTGGTTCTCCTGTTTCAACATCGCCAACATGGTCATCATCTCCTGTGGATTCGGCGGACCAGGGCCATAGGGATGTAGCTGAACTTGCCATCCTCCTTGATGCGGCATAGGTCCCCTCCTCTCTTCATGGGGCATGATGTACCCAGGTGGGCCAGTTTGTCCAAAGCCTCTCGGAACATGTAGACCTCTTCCTCCAGGCCCGTTCCCTTGGATCTGAACCACCGATTGCTCTCTAGGTTGGGAGGTTGTCGCCCATCGCTGTCACTTTCAGGCTCTTGTACTTCAGGTACCCGTGGTTCTCTTGTTCGTCCACGTCGCTGGTCATCTGGTACATGATCGCCCACCAGTGCCGGTGATGGTGTCCCCGTCGTTGTGCTCGTCTGTGGAAGCACTCCCACTGCACCTTCTTCTTTCGGCAGGAACGTGGGTCTCTCTTTCTGCACCTCCTCTGGCGACCTGTTTCGCATTCCAGGCTGCCAAATGCTCTGCCTCGGGACTTGAGCATACAAGTGAGGAGCTTGGCTCTGCACTTCATGAAGTCCCTTCAGCTGTTCCGGCGTGAAGAGTGGGGTCATCGGTGTCAACGTGGTCGGCGGTCCCTTCGGACCTTCCAATTTCTCTTCCCCTTCTTCTTCACCATCTTCCAACGCCAGCTGCTCCTCTTCTAGCTGCCGCTCTTGTAGGTGAAGGCCTCCCTGATCATCAGGGTCTTCTTCTCCACCTTCGCCTGGAGCTTGCCGGCGGCGCCTTGCCATCATCGCCATGGCTGCGAAGAGCGAAGGGCTGCCTTCCCCTTGCCGGAAGGTCTTACACCTGCGACCTTGGGCTCATAACCTGCAAGGTTCAACGCTCCTATTTTCGAGCATAAAAGCGGCTGTCGAGTGTACACTTCTCGTTTTGTGCGTTTCATCCTTTGCGGACCAGCAATTACCAACGTTCATGTTTTAACACTCAGCGAGGGTCCTCGTACATGGATGTTCGTACAGTGCTGAACAGTACAACCTAGAGAGGTTGCCAGGACAGGGGTTCTAAATAGCATCATATGCGGTCGCTCGTCCATATATGGGTCCCTCTTCTTCGCCTCCCGGGCCGTCGGGCCGTCGGGCCGTCGGACGAAGATGAGAGGTTTTTCCCCGGTCGGAGCCGATGAATCGCCAAGCCGCTTGAACTCACGTGACGCGGAAGTGGAGTGAAAACCCAGTTGAAAACCCCTGGTATTCGGAAAGTCGTCCTCCAGGTAATGTGTTTGTCAGAGTGTAGTGATGTTCAGTCAAAGTGCAGGCCCTTTTGGAGAAGAATGAGGAAGTGCCAATGGGAGGACCACGGGTGAAGAGTCGAGTCTGATTGTCGGTTCTTCGAAAGTCTGGAGAGTCTGACACGGTTCAGCCGAAAAGCCAAGCAGCTGGCTATAGAAGGGTAAACATGGTTGGTTGAAGGATTATGACGAAACTGATCATAGAATTGTATACGTTTTCTCAAGAACATGTGACTTATATTCTGATAAAGTAATTATTTTGATATTATAGAGAGTTTTGTTTATCAAGCGTCTACATTCTACGTGTAGAAAATGATAGAACCGGCAATGCCGGCATGCTTTTTGAGCTCCGGTATCCTTTGGCATGCTCGGATGGACATATATAGCGATGTATATATAGCTCATCAACTACACTGAGACTTTTCCTGAATTTTGTTGCTCTCCTGAACGTCTTCCCCGAAAAGCTTCCCCCAGCTCAAAACCCAGTTAGATCCAATCCGGCGCCCGAACATGAGGGGCAGAAGCTAGGGCTGACTGAGCACAAAGCAGAGAGTGGAGCTCTCTTAAATTCATCCAGAGTTTGCATTTAGATCCAACGCCTTTCAGAGTGGGGATCCGAGTGGATGGTACCACTATCCAGTTGCATCCCTGCAAATCGCTACCTCAAGTAGCAAAAGAGGGTACAATGATACGGTACATCCTAGGTTTCAAGGAAGCTACCCTACACATCCCTGAAAAGATCTAAACCATCCAACAAATGATACACATGCATTCATTATATATATATACATACTGTATATATACACATGGAAATAACTTGTACATGTTACTTGGATCCGTGCCTTCTCCAGCTGCCAGCCCTCCCTTCTTCAGGATGCTGTGCGGCCTGTTGTGAATGCTACTGGTGCTGCTGTGGCACCTGCACAGTCTTCATCCTATGGGCCTCTCGCAAGTGTCATAATCATAGAGCATGAATGATTGTGGTACGTGAGTATCCTATCCGGTTCCCAAATGGATCGAAAGGCACGAAACAGGGGGATGCACGTCTATTTACTGTACTTGGACGTTCTTCTGGATTGCCAAAAGGAGGATTTGACGACTGGAACTTTTTTGTCTGAGGGCTGGACTCCTGAATCCTGTGAGGCCTCTAATTAGCTGGAACGCTGTCACCAATGTAATCGATTTGGGTGCAAAATCCATGAAACGAATTGTGGAACTTCCCGTTACTATCCCAAACTGCTATATTTCTGCCAGTGGCAAGTCTCGGGGTTTTGCTCCGTTACCCTCTAACTAGTAAAGCTCCATGAATGGAAGGATAGCATGGGGGTCAAGGCTCCTGACCGCAGATTGTTCGTTTCCAAACAAAACACCCAGCTGCACCTGGAGTTGTATATACTTCAGATTCACGTGGTCCTATGTTTACCTGAACGTGAGTTCCCGGAACGTGAGTTCCCGTCACAGTGGTTGATAGATGATTCTTCCAGGTGGAGGCACCCAATCCGTCGTGTTGGACTCTTACTTTCCCGTCAACATATACCTACTGCGTACCTCCATTTCCCTCTTTCCAGGGAGCCTCTTATTTGTGAGTGAAGACTGGTGCAAGAGAGTTGGTGTTGATCAATTTCCAATTTGCAACCCACCAACTCTCAGCTTCAGAGCGTGCCTGCCCGGCACTTGGAAGCTTTGTTCGCGTGGCCCGGTCGGAGCGGCGTGACGAGGTCCTCCTGGTCACTTGGACCACGCAATGCGGCGTGACCACCTTTCCTGTGACTGGACGCCATCGTGGGCGGTGCCAAAACAGGAAGAGCCACAAGACCTTTGTGTTTTTTGGCTTGAGATACTAGGAGTCTAGGAGAAATACAGGGGATAGATACCAGGATATACCAGAAGACATGGGCACTCATCTTACGTCGACTGACAGAAGATTCGGATTCTTCTGAAAGCTATACAGCTTCATTGGTGACACTTTCTAAAAGACTGGACCCAACACTGCTGAAGTCATTTCAGAAGAGGACAGTTTCTTCAAGTTTGTTTGAGTTTTGATTCTTCTGCAAGGGAGTGTGTATGCATCAAGAGTCAGCCAATTGCATCCTTGTTTATATGGGAATCAAATGGAATCAATGCGGATTACAACTCACGACTGAACCATTCTGGACTAAGTAGTCTGTGACTTCGTAGAACTTCTCCATCAAGCAGTGAATCATCTTCAAAAACTCCAAATTGTTTCTAACTTCTTGTTACTACTAGTAAGGCACTTGTTACTAGTAGCGATGCACTTGTTACTAGTAGCGATGCACTTGTTAGTAGTAGCGATGCACTTGTTAAGGCCAGGAGCGATGGTTTCATTGGACATCGACCCACCCAACTTGGAACCCCCGGACCTTCGGCAAACACCGAGAGTCCAACGAGCCGCAACGAGCCTTGGAGCGAGGTGGAACATATCTTGGCGTCCAACGCCATCGCGGTTTGGAGCGCCCAGTGGAAGACATGTCCACCAGTCGAGTGTGGAACATATGTGTTTTTTGAACTTTTTCTATGTGCAACATGATCGTACTGGTAGGAAGTTGTGAATGACATACACTTTATTGTAATAGGAGGTTGATATAATGATGTTGCCATTCTTCTCTTCGGTCCCGTGCTTTACCTCATAGGCACCTTGCAGGCAAAACCAACTCTGAAAGGGGCCAAGTAAGCAAAGCAAGAGAGTTTTGAATATAGGCAACCGGTGGATCGGGAAAGCCCAGATTTTGACGATTTTGGACGTGCGCGGAGCAATAGACTTCTTTAGGCTAGACTTGGGTTCTTCAGATGCACCACTACCCGATGAAGGGCTTGGGTATTCGCGAAGTTCCTGCACCACCCGATGCATGTATACTAACATACCTATACATATAATATAGGTATCAAATTGTGTCCCTGGAGTTCCTTTCGTGAGCCCAAAACACACTCCACACCATACCTAAACATCTTATGTCTATGACGATCCAGATACGATGGACCAGCGAGATGCCATGATTTGACTGTCACTCACCCGTTGGACCTGTTGGAGCCATTGAATTCGCTCTCCCGTTTGGACCGCAGCAGCGAGTCGTGTGACCGCAGAGAGTCCCAGTAGGTGAATCGGATTGTGGTTCATTTCCGTGTGAGAAGCAACGCAGAAAAAGCACCCCCCCCATTGGTTGAGAAGCTGCTCTTCGGGGGACGCAGCGGGTATTGGAGGAATCCTTTACTATCCTTTACCTATCTTTACCTCATTGCACCCAGAAATTCTGATGTCTCAGGAAGCTTCCAACCTACATCACACTCTCACTGAAACCCCAAACCCATTTCCAGTCGAGAGTCGTTCCAGCGCCATTGCTGGCTCGCCCGTCGTCGCCGCTGCGATCGCCCCAGGATGGTACGATCACTCCCTATGAGATGGGCACGTCGTTAAACATGACACTGGGACCAAGCAGAGGGTATCATTGAAGAAATCCTGCACCGGCAGGACATTCACCAGCTCAGTTAGAGAATCTAGGAGAATGTCCTGCTACTTACGGAAGAAATCCTCCACTACTGGAGAGCTAGAGATCCCCAACTATCTACACTTCTACACAATCTACATCTACTGTTACAGTATCTACTCCTGCACAGGAGGTGGTGCATTTATAGTTGTTTTTTAAATGTTATTTTCTATTTTCTGCATGTTCTTTTTCATCTATGTCCATGCTCCATGCCTCTGTTCTTTTACAGATGTGCCTCTCACTTCCAAAGGGATGTGCCTCTCTCCGTCCGACGAGGGCCCCGAGACACCAGACGGATGCCCCTTTTAAGATCGATCGACATGTCGTTCAAGAGGTTTTAGTTTATGTTACGAGTGGGTTTAGCAGGATGTTGCAGGTGTTTTAGTGGGAATGTGATGTTTCCATGTTTGACTTTTCTAGATATTGTGTGGTTATTGGAATGTAATCCTTTACTTCCACTGAGACATGGGGTCCAGAATCCAGATGACCAACATGTGGCCAGAAAGCAACATATTCCAAAGAGTGCGTGAGGGCTCCATATGTTTGTTGAAGCTCCACCAAAGCAGATGAAGCAGGGGTGAGCAAACAATTCAAATAACAATCCAGCTGCCCCCCTCTTCATTGAAAGCTTAATACTGGTCTTTTGGTCCGTTTTCTTTACAAGCAACACACCTTCCAAGTTGTTAGGCCCCTCTCTTCTTTTCGTCATCGACATCGATCCTGCACGGAGTGGGGGACGCATGGTCCGGGGACGCCCTGGCGAGGAATGTGGATCCCGCGCTCAACATCGACCTGACCGGGGCTTGGTGGATGGATGGCAATCCGGCCATTTTTGAGCCCCTGGGCAGCATGTGATGGCGATTGCCTGCCGGAGGTGTTCGGGAACGAGGTCTGTCGGCCTGTTTTTTTGTTTTAAAGACGAAGCAAGGTGAATGGATGGTTGGGCAGGGACACCTTAGGATGTGACACATTTTAGGGGGTGAATACCCGAACCTGAATGCCTTCTCTACCCCCAGGTCTTTGCCAGGAGTTCCATACACACTCCCTCGTTTTAGGTTTTTGGTGGGCATCTGGTGAACTACGGTGGGATCTGATATTGTTAAATTCATCAAACATGACTTTCCAAGCTACGTAATTCGTTAGTGTGATACGACTTGTCCATGAAAAAGGGACCCAGTGCTATTTTATAACAGTGCGCATTCTACCTGTCTCAGTGAACGAGCGATGGGATCTCTGAGTTTTGAGTTGGTTGTCGGAGGAAGGCTGGAGACGCAAAGAAAAAGCGTGTCCCATCTCTAATCTCTACTTGTAAAAACATGTGTATCTATTTCAGAGTGTTTCTTTGGGTTGAGGATGTTTGAGGGTTACAGTTCACACAAATTTTGATAATAAAACTTTGTGGAATATATATATATACACACTTGTACACACATCAGTGATTCAGCATTGGCTCCATCGCCGTTTTGCAGTGGGTAGCTGATAGAAGTCCGTACGGACCAAACATTGGCTGAAAGGTTTATAAAGCATTATACCGGCGTACTGAAAGTTAGAATGTCATCTTGGAATTTTCGGGCATGGAACAATATTGAACTTTTCATAGGGGATGGCATTTTGCTTTCTAACTCCAACCTTCATTTTTACAGGGTGTTTGAACTTGGGTCTTTGACATGTCCTAAGACAGATAAAACAGTGTTAGCAAAAGCTTGTTGAGCACTGTCCTTTTTACTTGATTTATGCGTGTAAATGCAATTTCCCGCCCTGATCCAGCTGCATTCAGTGGCTTGAACAGACGATATGTTAGGAATGGAGTTCTACTGCACAAAAGGAATTTCCTGGTTCCTTTTCCTTGTCGGATTCCTTTTGCTTTTATCCTTTTCCTTGTCATGTTTCTTTCCCTTTTATCTTCTGTTTCCTCTCCTGTTCCTTTTCCTTTCAGCTTCCCTATCTTGTTCTTTACCACATATGTCCTGTTCCTTTTTCCTCTTCCTTGTCCTTTCCTTTTCTTTGCCTACTCTGTAGAGCTGTGGCAAGCGCGCCCTTTTCTTTTGTTATCTTTGGGTGCATTATTTGCATTCTATCTTCCAAGAAATCCTTGTGTTTACCTGCAGTTTTACAATTGTTCAAAATTAAAACTCTGGACATGGCATTCCTGTCGCAGTTTTTTTTACAGTGGTTTCAGAGCCGATGGCACAATCCCCAAGAGGTGGTTTAATATGGACCTCCATCTAATAGATTGTAAAGAAAATGTAGGGATTTGCGCCATCTACTTTGAAACCACTCACTGTAATTGTGTGTTAAATAATACAGTCTATTTAGTAACAAGAAGCTACTAGTAACAAGTGCATCGCTTCTAGTAACAAGTGCCTTACTAGTAGTAACAAGAAGCTAGTATAGTACATCCTGGCTTGCGATGCTTCCGAACTGAGGCAAGTGGTCTCCTTCGCCGGTGCTGTTGGCGCAGCCCCCTTTCCCGTGAGCATTCCCATGCCCACCAACTTCAAAGGCCTTGGATCGTTGGATCGTTGATGGCAGTGATGGTTTCAAGAGATGTATCCATTACGGGGCGTATCGACTGATGGATACCTTGAGTCATTGACTCATACGTAGTAGTGGTGTGTCGAGACGATTTGTTTGTTTTGCCTCCACTGGCCTCAACAAATCTAAAGCTGTGCATTTCGGCCAACTGATACGCTGGCCAGGCTGTTGGACGTACTCCGACACCCTGCTCGCTCGTTTGGTTATGCAACATGGCGATGGAGAGGAAGGCTAACCAAACAAGCGTGGACAGCAATGCCAGTTGTGGTAATTGAATCCTTGAATACAACTGTCATCAGTTGGTTCCGTTGATTCCTATCCAAAAGTGTTTGACCACTACTTACTGTGATGGTACATAGATTTGTGGGTGATTTCTGATAAGGGTCCAAGATGTTCCGAGCATTGACAATACGCTAGTATACATCACCAACGGTCACTGGCTAGAGGAGAAGTGATTGGAATGTGTTCTTAAGAGAAGTTGTCAGAGACCTGGATCCAACCATTTCGACCCCTATTAATTTTGAGATGTTTTCTCCTCACTATGTACACTGTTGTACAACCATGTACAGCCCCATGAACTGATCACGAAAGCGAGCTCAGAAGGAGCTCAGCGGAAGTTGTTGTTTACGAAATATAGTGAGGCTCAAAATTGAAAGGTTCAGTGAACTAATTGATTCTTTTAATTAAAGGGAGGGGTCAGCCGAGGGAAGGGGGGGCCCCCCCTCCCCTCCCTTTTAATTGATTATTTCAATAACCCCCACCCCCTCGCAAAGGAATTGATATTTCAATTGCAGATTGAAACGTCTAAAGAAGGGGGTGGCCCCCCCCCCTGTGAAGTGAATTGAAAGAGGCTATTCGACTCCTCCCTCGTCCTTGTGAGAAAGCATACCAAATGCCTAGAAAAGACAATATGACAGTCGATGTTATTTTTTGTGTTCGGTTGACTCAGCCAACAACACTTTGAGCTCGTGGCACAAAAGCGTTGCGTTGCTGCCCTCCCTCCGAGTCCCCTTGATCCTTCCACACCCCTCGCTTTCGTCCTCACTGTTCTCAAGTAGATCTCTTAAGCGTAATCTAAAGTCACGCAAGCAATCTCTTCTGTCAATTCTCAAGAGTTTGTGGACTATGGCTATGGCAGAACAGCCAAAAAGCTTCGAACTATATGTATATATATAGATGTCAAAGTGCGAACGGAACTTAAACGCGCTATGAAGGAACCAATTTGGGTGGTTTCTCATTGTTTATGTAACCTTGTCTGAAAGAAACCGTTGGAAGCAACTAACAACCCACATTTCCGAAGACGCGACACCATCAATCCAAGGGCCTACCATGCCTGGACGACCGCGGTGAACGATGCACACCTGTTCATGTTTGTCCCTTGGCCGATGTGTCGTTTCAGTTGCGCCTTTTTGGCCATCTCCAAGCAAGCAGTTGATGGACATTCCATGTTTCAAATGTTTCCATCAATGCTTTGTCCAAAAGAGTGACATAGACTCACGCAAGACCACACTGGAGTACACTTCTTGGCAAAGAAAGCTAACTTGGTTATCTTGCTTCGACTTGCCTTTGTACTTGTGTGACTCATATGACTCATAAGTTACTTATAGATGTACATACAAAAGCTCGTTTTAATGCACTACTTAGCCTACTCAGAGGTAGACTAGCAAGTAGGTTAAGTAGATGTATGTATGTGTTTGTCAATAGAATCTCAAATAAACAAACAACATCAGAAACAAAGCAGGATACCTTTTGTACTGCATGAGCCACACGTTTTGGTCGTCCTTACGCGCAAAGAGAGCTTTGCGTCCCCTTAAAAGCAGTGAAACCGCCAGGTCTTGTGACAAACCATGGCTCTTTTGAATCCAACTCCAACGCATCAGTTCTACCAGTTTCCAACAAGCATGGTGGTCACAACAATGTCGGGTTTTTAGTGACTCGATCGTGCACCAAAGTTGCTTTCTACGCACTGTTTGCGCTGTTTTGTGCATGTATGGAAGACACGTTTGTTGTGCAGCATGTGTATGTATGTGTATATATATATATATTATACCACCTGTCACGCAAATTAGTGCACTCATAGTTGTTTCATTCATGTATTTGTATACACATCAAAACTGATTATATATTGTCACGATCAAACCCTAATTTGTTGTAGTGTGGAATGAGCATTCGGACTCACAACAATGTGGTATGGGCGTTTCGCCCAGAGATATCTTCTTACGTTATCCTGCAAGTCAACATGCTGCTTGAGTGGTTCCGAGGGATTCTGTTTCTTTTGCAAATGATCCCGGCAAGAGGTCCCAAACAGTGTGTGTGTG